AGCCCTCGTTTGTTCCTAATTTTTGGAAGAATGAGAATGAAAAATATAGTTGTTATGAGATCCACACAAGAGATAGAAATTCAAATTTAATGGTTTGATATGATGGATAACGATCATATTTTTTATTTTAATAAGAAAAAAATAAGAACCAAACAGGGGCATAATACGTTTTTAATTGTTTCAAGATTTATTTACAATGTTTAAAAGATTTTTGGAACTCTGCTTGTAATTATTTATTATTATTTTTTCTTCTTTATTATTTATTTATTTAAAGAAGATAATAAAATTATTTTTTTTATTTGGCTATACTAGAGAAAATGGCCAGTAAAAATGTTACACGTCAGAGGTCTAAATGTCAATTTTTTTAAAAAAATAAAAAATAAAAAAAATCCCAAGTTAGACGATGGGGCTACAAGTTTTCACCCAGTTCATTTCAACCCACAAAAGAAAAAGGCCAGAGAATTCCTGGAAAACATTTTCCAACTTCCAGCACAGGATAAGCCCAAATCTCTCACACACTCACACGCCGGAACTGAAACCGGAGTCTTTCACCGGCCGGGAAAAAATGGAGGATGGCATGGAAACCGGCAACCTGTCTCGCAAAGTCATTTCAATTGCAGCTGGAGAAGCACATACTCTCGCTCTTACCGGTAACTCTACTAACTTATCTTCCCAGCCCCAGCGTTGTGTTCAAAATGATGGGAAACAGAGACTTTTATTTTCCAAACCCTTTCATTTTTTAAATTTAGATTTGGAAAATCTCACCACCAGAACTTGCTCAACCTTTCACTATAGTTGCACTAACAGTCTTAATTCCGAAAATTGTATTAGATTGGGAACTGATTGTGCAGCGTGTTTTGTGAAGCAGTTATTCAATAAAAATTTAAATGCTTTAAATTAAGTGGTGTTTTTTTGTATATATAGGTGATGGAAGGGTGTATTCTTGGGGGAGAGGAACCCTTGGACGGCTCGGCACTGGTTCAGAGTCCGATCAGCTTCTCCCGACTAGGGTAAAATTTTTTGGTTCTGATGATGAAAAAGAAGAGAAGCGCAAGACTGTTGGAATTGCTGCTGGAGCTTATCACAGTCTAGCCATTACAGGTTATAATGATTTGTGCTTTTTGAACTTGTAAATAGATAAGATTATGAGGAAGATTAATTTATTTGTTTAAATCCAGTCTTCAACACGATCTCATGTGCACGCTTTTGAAATGAGAACAATTTTCATAAATAGGTGATGCGAGATTTCAACTTGGGATTTTTCCCGAAACTAATTCTATATTGAACGATTTCATCCAAAATCATATACTCGATGCCTTTGTTAAGCTGTAAATGTATCATACTTATAGAATGTCAATAGCTACACGACACACTATAAATAGAAAATACGTTTCTTGTTTTAGCAAAATTCTACTTCATCTTCCCTATTGCTTATTTCCTCATGTGTTGCAGATGACGGAACTGTTTGGGGTTGGGGTTACAATGTCTGTATCCTTTTGATAAATCCTGTTTATGCTTTAAAACCCTTATCCAGTATCCAGATTATAGTTTCAATTGTTTCGCAAACGTTCTTCTAAGATACAAGTATTCCTTGATCCTTACACGGATGGCCAAATTGGTGCTAATGGAGAATTTTCTTTGGTGCCGCGTAAATTAGAGGGTTTCCTTGAATTGGGGTCTCCTGATTCCTCAACACAAGATTATGAATTGAAGAGCGGGAAGGCGCTGAAGGTATGAGCTAAATTGGGTTCGAAACACTTTTAGTCACTCAGCTGCTTATGATAAAGTTGTGCTAGTCGCTGAATTTTATTTTGTTCTACTGTGGTCACTTAAGATAGCTCTTTATTTCATTTTGGTCGCTCAATTAAAATTATGTTTATTTTCTACTGGATGTCCAACTTTGAAGACTGATAGACATTGCCTTGGAACAAACTTCAATGACCATGATGGAACAAAATATATCGATTTAATTTTATCTCAAATAACTTGGAAAGTGCTTGACTTTCATATTCAGATTTCTTCTGTCAAAGCTGGTGGAATGATGTCACTGGCAATCGACAGTCTCGGGGGTTTATGGATGTGGGGCAATTGTCCAAATTATGAGCAGAGCAAGTCCCCAGAAGGGAAATTTTCTCTTGTCAGCAGTTCTGCTCCGATTCCAATTTGGAATTTTCATGGCCACACTGTTGTTAAGGTGGCATGTGGAAACGAGCACGTCGTGGCATTAGTGAGTGCTGAAGAAACCTATGAAGGCGGCGATCTTATATGCTACTCGTGGGGTGGCAACAACTACGGCCAGTTAGGTTTGGGAGACAATGAAAGCCGATTACAGCCCGAAGTCATAGAAACATTTAACTTGCAGTCTCCTTGGGAGGTCTATGAGATAGCATGCGGCGCTTCCCATACGGCAATACTTGCTAAGAGAAAGAGACCGAGTGACACTTTAGAAAGTTTCTGTTGGACGTTTGGCTTAGGGGATAGAGGGCAGCTGGGCCATGGAACTACCAAAAGTTTTTCCTCCCCGGAACCTGTAAAAGGACTGCCACAGAGCATATTCCTAATATCAGTCGACTGTGGCTTATTTCACACAAGCGTTGTCTCATCAGCTGGAGATGTGTGGTCTTGGGGGATGGAGAAGGGCCTTGGTCTATGCCCCGATGCTACTTTTAATAAGGAAGATGCCGGGGATGCTATTTCTCCTTTACTGTTTCCTTGTCCCGACACCCGCGATTCAAAATTTCATTCAACTTTGGAAGTTGCATGTGGTGCAGCTCACACTGTTCTTGTATCAGATGGTGGACTTAAACTGTGGTCTTGGGGCAGGGGACGTAGTGGGGTCCTCGGAAACGGTAAGACAGTCGATTGTTATGCACCAACTCTAGTATTGTGGCCGTCACTTTCGGATGATTTCAGGGACGATGAATCAGTAGAGGTCCGGAAAAAGAAGATTGAAGAAACCAATCCCGACGTAATAGATAAAAGATTATCTGCGGCAATGGAGGAGATGAAGCTCCTTGAGTCGAAACTTTCCATAACAGAAAAATACGCTAGTATACTTCATGGTTCGATCTACGGTAGGCCTTTCCAAGAACATGATATTCCGTCATCACTTAAGAACTCTGGCTCATTTGACATTGCAAAAGAATGGGAGAATATGTTGGAGTCATCAGATAGTAGAAAACTGGCTCGTCTGGAGATGTTTCATCGAAACATGCTTCGTGCTGTAAAAGACAAGCTGATGAAGAGAAAGATGGAAGAAATGATTCGAGAAAGCCTCAGTCAAGTGCTACCGGAACTACTCAATAAACGTTCAGAATAAATCCTGCTGTTTCAAATGCATCTATTTAGATTCCGATTAACGTACGTATATAAAATATCTTGTAAAGAAGTGTGCGTGTGGCAAAACTCTTTAAGTTTTTTTAAATTAATAAAATAAAATTTTTATCTACATATGATTTACAATTTATTACTAATACATTTCATAAACACAGCCAAGAGGTGTAAAAGCTATATTATCCAAGGTTGTGTGGACTTTGATATAAACAATTTGTGAATGTAACTTTTCTTTTCTCCCAAAAAAAAAAAAGGAAAAATGCTCCGAGCAAACGCTCTAAATGAGTGAATACTGATTACCTCTCTCTTGTACGCAAAAACAACGAATATGATCTACAGAGTTTAATTGATCGACAAAAAATAGAGAAATTGGAAATCCCTCAGATTTGATGTGTTTTCCATAGTCAATGAATTGCCGCTACAGACGCTTGTACTCTCGCTTTAATAGGTAACTCTACTAATTCACGTGCCTTCAAAATTGTAAAAAGGAAATTCGTTTAACCCTTTTAGGTTTTTAAATTTAGAAATTTCGAAAAAATTCTAAATGATTTGCGTTGGTTAAGTTTCATAAATGGGTTAGGTCGATTTGATTTTGATTTCAAGTTAGACTCAAAACAACCCAACATAACTCACCCACTCCCATGTCGAACCATAACGGTGTTTGATAATAGTTTGTGGTTAAATATTGTATTAGATGTCTTGAAATGAAGGGAAAATATTTTATCGTACTTTTTTTTTTTATTTGTGTAAAAATGTGGGGGCAAATAAGTCTTCTTAAGCTCTTCTATCTATCATCGTTGATAAGATGTACCTATTAATGGAAAGTCAAAAATAGATGTCTTGAAAGGAAACAAAACTATGGACATTAGTGTGACCTTTTAGAAAAAAATTCTATATTGGGCGTGGCACTACTTTCCCAAGGAAATCTATTTGAGTGGGTCTATGGCCTATCATATTACCCAAATTAAAGCCCATTGGGCTACAACTCTTGAAACAGAACAAAACGACGACGTGTTCATCTTCTTCTTGAATTTTATCTCTGCGCATCTATGGCAATTTACTAGCTTCTCAAATGTTGGGTTCATTTAGAGACCGTTCTCAATCCTCAAAGAAGGTACCCAAAAACCCACCTTTTTCCATTTTATTTTATTTTATAGTATTTAATTTTCATAAAGTTATAAATTTTCTTGAATTGAAAAAACAACTGCAGCAGAAACATGAAGAAGGATGGTTAGGAGTGAGTTTCAAGCCCGAAAATTTCATACCGGGCCTCATAATTGGCTTCATTTGTGGGCTTTTCTTAGACTTATCGAAGCCCGGAAAAGGATACGATGCTAGGAAAATCAGCAGGCCGTTGCCGGGACAGAATCAACAGTTACCAAGAATTGTTTCAAGTAACACTGATGAAGAACTCAAAATGGTCTGTCTTCTATTGTGTTTGGCTTAGCTTAAAAGTTGCTTTTATAGAAAAGCAGAATTTTTTTAGTTAAAAAAAAAAAAATGTAAATTTAAAATTTATGTTTGGCAAACCAAGTAAGTTAAACGCAACAAAAACTTGCTCTAACTGAAGTCTTGGACTTTCATTTTTTTTTTTTTTTTTTTTTTTTTTTAATTTAAAAAAAAAAAAAAAAGAAGTAAACATGTAAAGGGGTTGGGTAAGTTTGATTAACCAACGGTTTAAGATTTCAAATTATGACTCATCTGTTTATTGTTTTATTTTTTTTTTTTTTTTTGGATCATATTTAGCTTGCCAAAGTGATATTCTTCAATAGGAGTTGTTGAAAAGACAGCTAGTAATGAGGCTAAAGATTTGTTTTCTTTCCTCAAGAATCGCGTTCTCAATATTGTTAGTGTTATGGAACTATTCAATATGGTGTGAGCAGTAAGGTAATGAGGGAAATTATGTTATGGATTAAACAAATAATCCTTATTATCGATGGCAGCTAATAATGCAAAATATGAAAAAACGAAAGTTTAAGATTGGCAGCGAAGAACAGAAAGTTTAAGAACGGATGATCTATTTATTGTTGACAAGTTTGTTACTGAACTTAGGAAATTTGTTGGCAGGTTTTAGTAGTCAGGCAGGACCTGAAGATGGGAGCGGGAAAGATTGCATCTCAATGTGCTCGTAAGATTCTCCAATTTTTTTTTTTTTTTTTTGTTAAGATTTCCAAATTGATAGTGTATATTTGTTGCTTCCTGATTATTTGGCTGTTTGATAATTGCTTGATTAAAAACTATGCAGATGCTGCCACCGGCCTGTATTCTGAACTTATGCAGAGGTGCGTTATTAACCTGATTATAGTTTGCTACCTTTCTCTAGATAGCTGAATATTCGATTGGAACCACCATCCAAATTATTTGCTCCTGTTTTTCTTTATGATATGTTTTGTAAGTTGGATTATAAAGTACTAAAGTAGAAAAAGAAGTTGAAATTTTCTCCAATATACTATTCAGCTCTAGCCAGTGCCACTTGCAGTGCATTCCCTTCGTGCGTAACGTGGAAGGAATTTGTTTGCAGACAGATGTTATTTGTCTCGCTGGAGTACCCGTGTTGTACTCCATGTCGACATGACACGGGTACCGGTATGGAATACGGGTCCGATTCTTCCAATTTCAATCGGACTCAACAAGAAATCTTAAGAAAAATTGAAGATTTACCTTATTGGCTAGAGATGGAAGATGTGTAAAGAAATAGCAGGTTAGCGCCGGCGATCCTTGGTCCAAAACAAATCTGTTGGCTATCTTCCACTGGAACCCTAAAATTGTGGAGGAGAGAAGGAAGAATGGAAGATGGCGAGATAGGAATGAAAGAAGAGATTTAGGTTTAATTGGAGTTGGGCCATTTTTATTGGGGCTAATAATATGGACGTGGGTTAGGTTAATAATATGGATGTGGATGGATTTAATTGAAGTTTGGGCCATTTTTATTGGGTTAATAATATGGATATTGGATATGGATCAATTTAATTGGAGTTTGAGCAATGGATATGAGTGGGTTAATAATGTAATTATTTTTACACCACTTTTTAGTTTAATAAAATATTCAAACAATAAAATTAATCATTTAAATTTTTTTTTTCAATTCATCATTTTTAATTCAAAAAATACGACAATGAAAAAAAAATCTAAAAAAACAAAATTGAAGTTTGAGAAACGTACTCACATACCCGTGTCCTAAATTTGGACTCTTTTTAGCCATGTCCCCGTATCCCACATTTTACAAAATAAAAGATTTGACGATTTGATTGACATTTCCCGTATCCCACATTTTACAAAATAAAAGATTTAGATCCCTTCAACTCTAACCCTTCACCCTAGTTTGTGTCCCAATCTTATATAGACCTATTTCGTTTCAATAGATTGATTGAAGTCATTAAAGTGGAGAATATAAGTTCTTCTAATATGCAAAGCCGCTGGTTGGTGGGGAATTTAGAATTATGCTTTTAAGCAATTAACGCACATTGATAACATGCTCACATTCACTATTTAAATTGATTTTTCTCTGCAAATATGATGATTTTCTTGGAGAAACTAAGTGCATGTTTGGGTAATATTATAAGTTACTTAGAATTTAATGATCAAATTCAAACATTAATTTTAACTTGCACATTTCGTAGGACCCATAGATACTGACCATTTATCCATCACTAGTTTCTATCATATTATAATTTTATCCAAACAAGAACTAAATAGAGGTGATAAGTTCTACTTTCCTTAATAATCTATGTATTATTTTTCATCTTTTGGTCATTTGCATGGATAAATAGAACTCCCTTCATCTCACTTCCTTTAAATGCCAATTAAAATCATTGTTATAGTGCCACTAGGATTGGGAATTATATTGATTTAGAGCATGTTCGGCTAAGCTCAAGAAATAAAAAAGTCACTTTTAAGTTACTTTTTGTTTCATGTTTGGATATGTTACATTTTTCTTACTTTTAAGTAAAAAGTTACTTATTTCAAAAGTATATTGTACCTTAGTGTCAAAGTACGTAGCTCAATTGCTTCCAACTTTGACCAATAAAAAAAAGTCATTTATTAACTTATTTACTTATAACTAATCTTTTTCAACTTAGCCAAACATGGTCTATTTAACATCTATTTATGATTTCTTTGGGATTGCATTATCTGGTGACTGTATGAGAAGTAACACCTGATGCAGCCATAGGTCCCTTTTGAGGCAATGGGAGCTTTGTGGCCAGGCCAAAATAGTAGTTACATGCAAGAATCAGCAAGAAATGTAAGGAGGTGATCTATCCTAAGGCCCCGTTTGGTAGAGATTTTTTGCCCCAAAAAATTGATTTTTTGACCGTTATTTTACTATTCAAGCCGTAATTTTTCACTTCTTCTCTCACATGTGGACCCCATTTTTTTTCTAACGGTCAAAAAATCAATTCTCAAAATTCCTACCAAACGGGCCCTAAATGTTTTTTGTTGACTCAATATACTTGTCCTTTGTACTAGAATCTTCTCTATATTCTCGTGCATGAATTACAATAACATGGTTATGTTATCAGGAATAAGCTGAAGGATGCAGCCGAGGACATCAGCCTTCCAACATTTGTTGTCGCTGATGCAGGACGTACACAGGTGATATTTTCGAATCACTTTAAAGATTATACTGTAAATTTGAAGTCCAAGATAATAATTGCTTATATAAACAACTAGGAGATATATATTTATGTACTATGTTACATAGCATGGCATGGCATATCCATGTGTTTGTGTTTCATGGAGAAGTTTAAACAGCACTCACTAAGTTCTTAACAGATAGTTATGATCACATAGTTAGGTTCAAAGCTGCCATTTTCTCTAACATATGTGCTAATGTTAGATGGTGTTATTAAGCTACTCTAGGAAAGTTTTTGAAAACATACTAGGAGTTAAGCCTTGTTCCTAGTTAATTTAGGTCGGCTAGATGAATCCTTTTCGCCATCCCGCGCCTTCATTGTTAGATTTGAAGCAACTAGATCCTTTACAACTGCAACGTGGCATATTAGATTTTGGTCAAGCCCTTCCTCTTCTGACTTGTTCTACTGAGATTTCATTGTTCTTATGAGTGGATGCCTTTTATGACTTGTAGCTATACCACCCAAATATAATTCCTTTAATATATCCTCAGTCAGCGCCATCTCCACTTGTTTGTGTATATTCCCATTTCATATCTATTTTATTATTCCTATTACCTACAATTCCTTCTTAACAATCTCATTTTTGATATATTCATCTTAAGGGCATTTTGTCCTTTAATAGCCTGAGAGTCTAAAAAATAATACATATTTGCTATAATAACCTGTTGTGTAGAATTGACTTTTTAACTTTATTAGAATTTGTGTAACACTTCTACATTTCATCAAACCACTCTAATTCAATGCCTTACATCTAACTCTGTTCTTCCTTATCAATAATTAAATAGATACCTAATAGAGTCACTTTTGGTATACTTGGGTAGTTTTGAGCCAAATAATATTTCAACGTTACGCATAAAAAACTTGGTAGAGCAAAGTGGAATTAGAATTCTTTAAAATAAAATAAAAAATAAAATAAAATAAATTATAGCGAATAATCTAATTGTAATGAATTGATGATTGAAAAAGTTTACAAATCCCTAGGCAAAATAATCTCTTAATCCTAATACCTAGGGAATATAAGTAATCAAACATAAAAAATAAGTGATAAAAAACTAAAAGAATAAAAGTCCTATTTTAACAAGAAATAAAGTCGTACTACAACATTGAGTCATTCCTCTTCTATTTTGTAATAGAATTATCCTACATCTCTCACTTAAAAAATCTTGTCATCAAGTTTGGTTGAAGAAGAGGAAATCAATAAATGAGGAAAATGATAAAAAAAATTCTGCAATTACTAATATCGAAAAAATGTTAATCCCTTGATGGGTTCAATAAATGTCGTTATAATCTTAGATGCATTGTTTGAAGATAACTTTGCTCCTACCTTGCTTATTTTATTTTTCTCATCACAGGCACTTCCTACGTGATATTCCTTTGAAAAGAAAGCATGGTTGAGTTTCTCTTCCTAGAATCCACTCTTGGTAGGGCACTATTGCTATTTTCAATTCTTCATACTTTTCATCTTAAGCTATAATGTTCAAGCATACCTTCTTCAATACAAAAAAATCAGTACGAGCACTCAAGTCCATTCCAATACTATTTTCCTCTTGCTTGTGCAATTCTTTATCATTGGAAGGGTCAAGAAATTTTTTATTCTCAATTTTGACAAACCTCACCTTTGACTTCTTTGTGATTAGACACTAACTCAAACATAAGGTACATAATTGCAACTTCACCGGATTGTTTTCCAACTTGAAGCTAATACTTAGCTTCTGTTTGGTCCCCATTTCTTAATATTCATTTTTCTTCAAACTCATTTTTAATTACACATGAATGGAATTTACAACTTTTCAACCGCACATTTTATTCTTTTATCAAAATCTATTAAAAATCTAATATTTATTTAAACCAAACAGAACTTCTTTGTCATTGGGATAAAAAAGATTCTAATTCTCAAAATATACGTGCTTCTCTATTCCGGTATCATGATTAGTAGCATCTTGCTCTTCTTTAATATCCCGTTGGGAGGGGTTGTCGAGTGGAGGAAGTTGAGGATTCCTGTGGTTCTGCGCCATGTGTTCTTCCTTCTATAGTCGTGCTGCTCATTGTCTGATGGAAGCTCGCTGGGATCTGAGTTGCCATGGTTGTTATTATGACCCTGTCGAACCTGGTTGTCGTCATCGAGGTTCACGCCCACATCTTACTTCACCAATGAACGCAGTTTAGGTCTACTGGCCATCGTTAAAGGTTTTCTCTAGCCCGTCAAGTTGCGATGTTTGTGAACCTCTGTTCATCATCGGTGGCTCGGACTCAATCCCGTCCTTAGTAAAAATTTTGATGAAGTAAAAACCATTGCTCTGGTATCAATTATGGTGCGGAAGCAAAATTAAAATTCTTGAAATAAAAGGAAAGTTAAAAATTTCGAAAGTTTGTAGAAAATAATTTTATTGTAATGAATTGATAATTGAAAAAGTGTACCAAGCCTTGCTTATATAGCTGATCATAATAGCTCAGGGAATACAAATATTAAAACTTAGCCTCTGTTAGCCTCCACTTTTTGTGAGATTAAAATCCTCTTTTTCACGTTGCAAGGTGGGTGTGGGTCCTAGTGTGAGAATTGTGTGAGAAGCAAGTAAAAAAAGGGCAACCGTGGGCCCATTTGGAAGGGGCAATATAAATCTTGTTGAAAAACAAGAACAGACGGGAGCTTTAAAAAATAAGTAATGAAAGACCTAATAGAATAAGAAATCCTGATCTAACAAGAAATAAAATCCTACTACAACATTAAATAACTCCTATCCCTTTTGTAATAGAATTGTCTTACATCGCTTGTATTACATTCTTGGCTTGTTATCTCATATATAGACTTTGGAATCCCTTTTTTTGCTTTTGTACGAGGAAGTTTCTACAAAATTTAAAATATTTTGGCCTTTCTTTGCAGATTTCAGCTGGGTCAAAGACAGTTCTTGCTATTGGACCTGGTATGCTCCTGAGATCTCTTCTTGGCACACTTCTGTTGTTTTTCAAATAAATTTTTTCTTTCATTTAATAGCACCGCATATCTAGTTCTGTAGATTGCAGTCAAATTTGTCTTAAATTTAAAAAAAAAAAAAAAAAGTTCTATTCAAAACCTCCATATTTCCTCTTAGGATGGAACATTTTCAAGGTGGTTGTGTCTGAGATCACATTTCTTGAAGTACTCTTGGATAAGTGTCTTAATCCTCTTACATCCATAAGCAAATAATTGTTGCTTTCATTTGTTCACATTATTGTTATCTTTCGGGGAAACTCTTATGGAGGCAAAGTGTCAGCACTAATACCTATTTCTCTGTACAAATAATCTTCCAACCATGAAGTCCAGAAATAGAGAATACAGACACACTATAACGCTGTGATACTTTATTCTGCGATTTCGAACATTACATACAATATATGAATTGAAATGAAAGATTATAATTAATAGAACCAACCAATCTTTTCCTTTTTCTTCTTATTATTCTTTTGTTTAATTAGTTGCACAATACTTGGATAAAATATTGCCCACTTAGCAATAGATGTTAATGAATAAATCCCACGTTGAATAAAGATAGTTTTGGTTACTCCTCTTGACATGATTGACATATAAACTCTAAGTCTTAATATGACATCTGAGTCTAATAAGGTCAAACGTAATTCAATTAAATTAAGACTCAAAACAAATTCATGGATTCCAAGATTGGTGTTCTTAAACGAGCCACTATCATTCTGGGTTAATAAATTACACATTAAATGAAGATAAGTTGGACTACTACTCTTAACAAGGTTGAGTTTTTAAGATAAAATTTCAAATTTTAGTAATAGGCTTAAGCCTATGCCAATAGACTAGGTGACATCCATGCACCTTATCGTCAAATGACGCATGTTCAGAAGGGGGAGAACCAACCTTTTTAACAGCACACAAGTTACATCTTCAAGTCCATGAGAACCAATAACAGAAGCGAGAAACAATTCATCCTGGGATCCCCTTTTTTTTAAGCTCCGAAATTACCTTTAGCCTTTCCCATGTTCTATGTACCAGCACACTCAAATCAGAGAAGGAACTGATAGATTCATATGATTTTCTACTCATATGATTGTAGCAAAATATTCATGTCAATTTCTTGATTGAGCAGGGAATAAATCCATAGTGGATTCAGTAACGGGGAAGTTGCGCCTGCTTTGATGACACTGAAGTCATTCTTTCGCGGTTATGACTTATAATACATTGCCAACGACTATGAATTTTCTTGCTGTTTCTCATGGAGTACAGACCATTGCTGAAACTTGTCAAGGTTATTGTACTATTATCAAGACGGAAAGATATTTTTCCTTTCTTATCCTGAACATCGTGATCTATTACATGATATTCTTTTTTCTTGTTACAGTTTTGATTCATAGGAGAAGTCAAATAATATGTTCTAATTCCTTTATGAGATTTCCCGTCTCTCTGTTAGGTTTCAGATGTGATTGTTTTCTGTTTAGCAAAATGTGTACTGCTGAATTTGGTTTGAGAAGGTTGGGGAAGATGAAAGAGGAATATTGTGACTATAAGCACATGTTTGGCGTAATGTGATTCTAACTTCTTTTCCTTCATCATCTTTAATATTGTTCAATCCATGTATATTTCACATCCAAGGATCCATGAATGGAGCTATCTAGCCAGGGCTGAGC